CCTCTAACCCTTTAAATATATGCATGCATACATATGCCCCTAACAGAATATTTTCCTCAGAAATGCAGGGCCGAAAATCGAGAGCACTCGGTTGTAGGTTGTAACGGTAGATTTAAATGATAATCGGCCGCATTAGTGGTAGGTTATGCAAGGCGTTGTCTTGGTATGGCAGAGCTGTTCTGTCCAGATAAGCGATATTTTTTCAAGCAAATATAATCCTATCTTTGTTTAAATGTCTTCGTGGAATCAGCCACTATCACGTCCTCGGGAAGCCCGTTCGAGACACCGACGACTCGCTGGGAAAAGGAGTATCTGCGGACGTCCAGTCGTCATAGGGAGTTCCCACGCAGGTTTGTCGTTGTGGCCAAGGTGAAAAAATCATCGAAGTGTATGACAAAATCCCGGTTCCTCTAAATCCCGTACGCCCGTATGAGATCTCCTCGAGCCTGCTTGTACTCAAGAGGAAATAGTTTTAGTTAACTAAGTCTGCAGTTGTAAGGTAAAGTCCTGATCCCTTTCACAATTTTGTTTAGGCAATTTCATCAGTTTATCGATCTTAATTCTTGGATTTCTTATATCCTTCTCCATCCCCAAGATTTTTCAAAGAATTCCAATACTTGACTCACAGGTTTCGTCTTCGATTTTGACATCCAATAAAGTTATCAAACTCATTGCGCGTTTGACGGGGGGGGGAGTGATTCGGCAATAAGAGACTCGTCGCAGTAGTCATTTATACAGCGTCTTACGGTTATTCTATTCTGCATCAGTGGAGCAGTGGTAGAGAAAACTTCAGCGGCACTCCTTTGTCCATGATCGATCCCGGCTTGTGGCGGAACGTTTGCCCAATATCTAGGAGACCCCTTGATCGGCTACCAGTATTAAGTCAATAGACTTGAAACATTTTTTAACGGCATGGAAACAATTTTAACCGAGACCAACGGTATGAAGTAAATAGCAAACGACTCAGCCGTTTTTTATTTGGGAATTCCCTCGGTGCTGTTGTCAGAGATATGGTCAGAAGGAGATAGGTTTCTCTAGCGAAACTACTGTTCTAATCCTGTGATAATCGAGGTATTGGTAAGAAGAATCGACTTATTAATTCCGGCAGACTATCAGGGCGTCCAGTACTCAGGAGTCTCGAAAAAGGCCAATCCCTCGTAGGTCCAAAATTTCAGACCAAATTCAAAAAACGCGCTCATTAAACCTCCCTAGATCTCTTGCCACACGCTGACAGAATTACGACCAAAGCTGCTCAGATTTGTGGTTCTATTCCTTATAACTTCTGTCTTCCCGAAACCACATTAAGACTTTATCCAATTGCCAATAGGCGCAAAGAGATGAGTCCCAGGAGGCAGTCGTGAAGAAGGAGACACCTTCGCCGGGGCAAAAGCTTTATCCACCGGAAGTTTCGGATTCCTGCTCAAACCCATCATCACAGACAAAAGAGGAGACGGGCCTGCTTTTGTCTCTGGTGATGTGTTCGAACAGGAACCCGAAACGTCAGGCAAAAAAGGCTCTTGTCCCAGCTATCATTTCTCCCTCTTCACTTTATTCAATGTTTATACTTCCCGTTCTCGAGTATTGTTGCCGATTCTTTCGTTTGATGAAGGAGGATATTCGTTTAAAAATTGAAAATGTCCAAAGACATTTTACTTGAAGACTCTTAAGTACGGAACGTCCAAACATCTCCTACTCAGATAGATGCCAGCTAAGTAACCTAGAATTTTTACGGGTTTGAATACTAGAAGCAGGCTTCCGTTTCCTTTTTCTCCGTACAATCTTTGAAATTCTTCCTTGATAATACCTCCACCCGCTTACTCCACCTCTAAGCGCTCTCTTATTTTCGCTTCCAGGTATACTTTCCTCTGCAATAATCTTTCAATAAATATAAGATCATCAGATAATCCACAAGCATTGAAGTGAAGGCTGCGGCTTTATCTGAATGCTTACTCGATTAAATTTTTATTTTCCTCATCCCTACCGGACAACTTTCACTATAACACAGAGAAAGGGCCATTGGGAATTTAGGACGCTGCCATTAAATTTTCGTATCCGCTCACATTTCCTTCTCTCGTGTGTAGCTTCGTTCCCTAGGACCCCTTATCAGAAATTTCGATTTTTCGACTTTTTAGTACATGTATCATGCTCGTCACAGAATAGGATATCCTTCTGAAAGAAGTAGCGTGGCACGGGTGACGTGCACACTCTAAGCCGCCTCAGTTTCGCTGATCGCCGACACTCCCCAGAATTTCACTCTGGCTCTCCCAATCAACGATGTTCGCGGATCGTGATGTCAACGCCTTCATTCGACCCCAAATGGTCTGTTTAAGAGCACGGGGTGAATCCTCCGCCTTCGCCATTTGCTAGTAGTTTGGTCCGTCAGCAAAGAGGTCCCAGAGTCTCATGATCTCCTCTGCGTTTTGGTGACCACCCCAGCGTTTAATTTCCTATTCTTGGCTGGAATCTAAGCGGACTGTGTACTTCTATCTTGCCACTTTGAGGCGGCTAACCTCACATACTTTAGGAAGCTCTGCCTTGATGATTTACACTTTGAATCCCTTATAAAATATTATATGCAGGCCAGTTCTGTTCGACCTGTATCTATTCCCCTTTATGAGCGACAGCTTTTTCTCCTTAACGTTACCCAACTTACACCCATTTTATTTCTTCATAAGGAGTTTTTTCACTGCTCGATGACGGTTTTTATATGTAACTGTTTATTATACAACCGTGGACTGAATAATGTACAGAATCTGTCTGCCAGTTCTAAAATTTACTTGAAAATTTATATTTACATGCCATGACGGGACTCCCAAGGATCTTTCAATAAACTTATTTATTTTTATTTATTTACTTTTAACTATTTGTTAAATTATTTGGCAATCGAGGTTTGTCGGGACAAAGAAGCCGCATGCCGGGAGAAATTTGCAATGTAGAGCAAAAATACTTTGCTATGAAAGAAGCGAAACGTTGCATGCTCTATTACTTTTCATAATAATAGGTGATAGGACAACTCTGATAGTAGTTTAATAATAGTTTATTCTTTATTGTCCGGAGGGCACAGTCCGAACGCATTTAACACTGAGTCATGTGATGAAATACAGACAGAGTAGACAGTAGTAATGTGAGTGAGCGGCCCGATGATATAGAAGCTGCATATAGATATAGGCAGACCGACATTTCGGGTGAAACCTCGAAACTCCGGCGGGTAGGACGGAATCCCGCTTATTGTTAGCGCGAGCAAAATTAGGCGATTTAAAACGCTCGCGTGGATATAACTCTGATTAAATCGTTGAGAGGTTTTTGTACGGAGGATATGGCGTAAAGGACACGATGAAATAACTGAAAAATCGAAATTTCTGCCAGGAGACCGCGTTTGGTTTACGGCACACCAGCCTGGGGACCTCGGACAGTCCAAAATCACAGAAGTCTAGGAGGAGCTTAAAGATGGATAAGTGATTGAGGGTTAAATTCCTTTGCTTACGCGGTCCGTCCTTCAAATCTAAATCATTTCCCTGTGTTCGCGGCGATCTCTTAAAAGCATTCAGCATTGCTTAGGGATTGGATTGCAACCCGATCATCGACACATTGTAAAATTTGCTGCGTCGGCCAAAGTCCAAGGCCACCCACAGCAGCAGGCAAAACAGAATGTGTGGAAGTCCTCTTTCTCCGCCAAGATGGTCAAACCATGCACTGTACTACTGACAGATGTTGTGACCTCACCAACACTCGAATGCATTAAAATGAACATTGACAGACCTATGTTCCAAAATCAGCTTGAGTGATGAGAAACCAAACTCATCCCCTGAGATATAATGCACAATTTTTCACATTTACATGGTTTTCTTTGGACTTTTCTAAACCATATTTATTCCCTAAGCCAAGTGCTCAATTTTACATTGTCAATCGGGTATTAAGGGACTCACAATTATTTTCTCTCAACGAAGTTAACGGAGCTCAGATGATGTACGACCCACCCGCAGATTCCGTTGGCATGCTGCTGGTTCAAGCAGTAACTAAGAGACAAAAATTCGAGAAACACGATGGTGTTAGAACCCAAAGTGCTCTAACTGTATTGGCCGTTTTCCCGAGTCACGCCTATCCCCACTTTTTCCGCATTTTTCAGCTTTAATCTATTTACAGGGCATCAGTTTTCGGCATTTAAGCTTTCGTTTGTCCTATTTTTGCCAGTCAGTGTCACCATCCTACATTCTGGGCCAGAATGCAATGGCCTAGACCAATGTGCAGCGGCCGGGGTTGATCGTTCTAAATTTTTACCACAAAATACTAATAATACTTCATAATACTAGGCTGAGCGTGTTTCTTGCTTAAATCGCCACGCAGAAACAATGGCATAAGTAAAAAATCCCGTTCTTTATTTCCACGTAAGTTGGAGTGAATTGAATTACCTGCTGGAATGCCTGCCGCTGGCTCGGCCGTATGAAAAAGATGGGAGAGGCCAAACGTCTAGATCATCCACTGGGATTTTAGCAGTTGGCTCAGTTCACCCCAGGTAACTTGAAAAAAAAACACGAACGATTGCTTGCTTGCTTAAACGTGGCAATTTACGTAAAGATGTACTAGGCCATTTTCCCAAAAAAAAACGCCGCACTCTTAGGCAGTCACGAGCAAAAATTGGAACGATGACCTCTGGAGCCGGCCATGGTCTGGTTTATTCCAGTATGACTCAACACATGGGTCCGAGACATGTTGAGGCGGGAATGTTAGCCTTCACGTTTTACCTTTTTTGTTCTCAAGGGACTGCCCGTCTGCAACCCAGCCTGCCTCTACCAGTCCATAGACTTATAGCCGTAGAACAGTAAAGAGTCCACGTTTGTTTCCAGATACAAAAAGTGACCAGATATGTGGGCGTCTCCGGATCTAAAATAAACCATGCACTTTTTTCTATGACTCGCAGGCTATCTGACGGTGTCCTCATCTCGAGTTAATTGTTGGCATTGTGGTTGCATACCGTCAATTTGGTCTCGCAGTTGTCAACCATGTCTTTGCCTCCTGGGTGGACGTCCGGTGTTTCACGATCCACAGGTTATTTATGACACTAAATTATGTTGTTTGACCTTCGTCGATGCATAATATGCCCTTCCTTTCCTGTATGCTGGGCCGAAAAATCAGCTAACCGTCCATTAGTTTTCGAGAGACATCTAGGAGGGGGTGTAGCAGAAAGCTTCCTTCCTCGCACAGATCGAGCACTGTCAGCCAGTCACGTTGCTAGCCCGCAAGTCAATTAGACTAGCAAATGTCTAGCCCTGGGCGACTTAATGCTATCAGGGCGTCCGACCCCGGAGTGTTTGGTTCAACTACTCAGTTGTACGGAAGTCTTGATCAGGCGTCAGGGGCAACCGCTGCTGAAAATTCGCTAGATTACAACGATGACCAGTCTCGCCATTGAACTCTCTGGAAGGTTTCGTGCGGTTCGAGGAATAAGGTAGAAACTCCGGCAAATCCTGTACGCTAAGTACGACTTTAAATTAGTGCCTCGTCCTTCGATCGTTGCTGAAAATCGATTGGTTCCCAGCGCCCCTTGGGGACCGCGTCACTAAGGACGCAAATGATTGAGCGCATGGGTGTGGCAAGTCTGTTGGGTGGCAGTGTCCTTCTGGCGCACGTTGCATGCAAGCAGAGGCCGAATGCCAATGCGGTGACAGTCGTCGATGGCGGATAAAAAATCCCCATCCGCCCTGGCACGTAGAAACACAGTCGTAAACTATATTGTCTACGTATTCGATCCCTAACACGACATATTTCGCCGCCGTAATGAGCATTAACATGTTAGATTTGCTCGATAAATGTTCTAACTGGTGCATCACAAATTACAGCTGTCAAACGGGACTGCTGTGTTCGGTCGCTAATATCGACAGGCAGACCGGACCTAGCCAGAGATAAAAACTTCCCAGTCAGCGGTCTGCAAGCCGACTACATCTCCAAGGACTACCAAAGCCGCAATAAATTCCTGCAACAAATATTTCACTAACAACTGGCTGCATAATTCTACCTAAGATACGCCAAAATTAACGGTTTGTTTTCTTATGCACAGACATACATGTGGGCATATGGGCGTTAGAAGTTAAGTCTGAAATGACGTACAATATTCACGGCATTGTCCACCTACTGGACGATGTTATACGGCAGGGTCCGCTTGATAGCTTCTCCTCATTTTCTTTCGAAAGTTATCTTGGCAAAGTAAGACGTATGCCGAGAAAATCGTTACAACCGCTACACCAATAGTTAAATATGCAACTACCCAATCGCCTGAGTTATCCATGAAAGACACCCGTAACTCATCAGTTAACTGCTCTACAGGTCTTAAGTAAGTGCACTCATCACGGCCCGTTGCCGCATTGCCTGCCCCACTCGACAGCATTCGCGCGTCCGGGAGCAGGTCAGAGGAAAGCCTTCTGGTAGTCTTGAGAAGACTGGCCAGGTGAATTATGGATGTGCGCAAGCGTACTGCTCACGAAGACACAGCACCGAGTTCCTCCAAAGCGCAACTGCACTTCCTTAATCGCTGCCGTGGTCAACGATTGACTCCAAAATGTGTCACCTATAAGCCGCCCGTGAATTCGACCTCGGGAAGGAAGACTGGCGCAACACGGCAGAAGAATGTCTAGAATACTTATTCATGATTGCCATCAAAGACTACAACGTTTCAGCATAGAAATTTCTCAATCCAAGTCATATTTCGTGGCAACTACTGGTGAAGGATCGAAGGATATTGAAGAACCCATTCTCAATCATGCTCCAAAAGTATTTACCTTAAAGGACAAAGAATTATCAGTGAAATTGGCCAAACTGAGACAAGCTCGCTCAGGTAACTCGTCGGGCGACCTCGTTCACAACATTTCCTCTAAATCCCTCATCTGCACACAACTTGCAATCCTGGGACGTAGACGCACTTTCAACACAACAGACGCTGCATCCCCAGAGTTCATTGCCGCTTTTAAATCTGTTCTTCATCTATCGCAAACTTAAGAAGAGGCGAGAGAGCTGATTCGCCACAAAACCTGTTTGTTAATGCAATACAAGAAGAGCGAAACTCAGAAAAGAAGAACAGCAAGCATTAAAAAGCCTAAAAGCGGATAAAGACATAATCATCTTGCCGGCTGACAAAGGTCGTTCCAGAGTAGTGCTTGACAAATCTGATTACCAGAAAAAAGCTTTGAGCCTACTCGACGATCCACAGTTCTATAAACTTTGACCAGCCAGTGAGACGAAAAATCTGCTTACTGAAATAAACATAAGTCTGGCAAAACTCATAGCAAGTGGGGCAATCACAGCCAGCGATTGGTTTCTTATAAAACCCTCTGACTCTGTCACAGCCCGGTTTTACGGTCAGTCGAAGGTACATAGAGGTAACATACCGCTTAGGCCCATCGTCTCTCCACGTGGCATTCCTACATACGGTTTGGTAAAATAGATGTTTGATCGTCTTTAGTCCTGCCAGAAGGTTAGCCAACAGCAGTGGCTTCTGCTAGTCAATTCCTGGAACGTTTAAAACATCGGAAACCAGAGCCAGATGAATCCGTAGTATCTTTTGGTGTCGTTTCACACTTCACTCCCATTCCACAACAGCTAGCGATTGACGTTGTAAGACAACTCCTGGCTGACCCTTACGACGAGGGAGACAACCACCTGAAGACTGAACACCTCTTGGAGCTCTTACGGTATTGCATAAAAACATATTTCAACTTTGGTGGGAAAGTGTATGAACAAATCAAAGGCATCCCCATGGGCTCTCCCGTATCAGGACTGATTGCTGAAGTGATCCTTCAAAAGATAGAACACTTGGTGTTCACCAAGTGTCAACCAAAGTTCTGGGCTCGTTACTTCGATGACACTTTTGCCATTGTAAAATCATCAGACGTAGAGCACCGTAAAAAATAGCTGAACTCGGTTGACCCGAATATCCAATTCACGATATAGGCTGAAACAAACAACCAACTTCCCCTCCTCGATGTCCTTGTGCGTCGGTGGGCAACAGGGCAGTTGAAAACTACCGTTCTCAGAAAAACCACCAACACAAGACAAATACTACACTTCAACAGCAATCACCCCCTCTCTCACAAATTCAGCTGTGCCCATACTCTATTCCAAAGAGTTGAAACACGCTGCAGCACACCAGCTGACAAAAGAGTTGAACGACAATACCTTAATGACCTCTTTCGGGCCCATGGATACCCAAGCTGCTTTATCAAGCAAAGCAGGAGCCGAGTGATTAGACGACGGATACAAGAAAAACAACTCGAACTATGGAGGGCTATTCCTTACATTAAAGGAGTCTTCGAGGCGGTTTCACGACTGTTACAACCCGCCAGGGCAGGCATTGTCCATCGACCCCAGGCAACAATGCGTCGCCGTTTGATGCAACCCAAGGACGTACTGCCACCCACTGAAACCGCAGCAGTTGTCTATTAAATAAGTTGTAAAGATGGAGGCTGCAACTACGTTGGGGAAACCGGAGAGAAATCGCAGGCCTGCCTTAATGAGCACAAAGTGGTAACTCGGAGAGTAGACCCAAACCCACAGCTTACGACTCATCGGAGAAACTGGCCACAGTTTTGACTTTCAAGGAACAACCGTCTTAGGCCAGGCACCTTAAGGACAGAACGTCTCACGCGTGAGGCTTGGTACTCAGATGCCAACTCCATCAACAGGCATCCAGACCTTCCTGCGGCCCATAAAGTCCTACGTCACTACATACGCAATGCTCATGACAAGACTGTCAACGGAGCTTAAGAATACGGAGAAAACACGGCTCGTCGACTAATTCATCCAAAAGGGGGGCACAAACGCAACCGACTCCAATTGAGGTGACGGCACACATTCAAAAAAGCTGGAGTCAGCCTGTTCAGTCACCGTCCATTTCCAGAGCGCCCTGATAACGGATCAGTGGTTTGCCTCAGTGACCGCTTGATGGGATATTAGAACTGAAGAGTAAGGAGTTTAGGAAGAACATCTATGCAAAATGTGAAAGAGCGGTTCGCATACACTATGTTTGACTGTCTGCCTTCATGACCCGCTTGTGAAAGTGAGCACTGCTACCACACTCATGGCACAACATCGAGTCCGGTAAAGTCATTTGCGCATTCTCTTGGGCATATACACCGCAGTGTGATGAGATCCTTCGATTGTTTCCCAGTTATTGCCACTAGCACCTGTTAGACAATCATCGTTTCTGTTCTTCCAGGTAAAACGTTTTATGTCAATACCCTGACAAACGAGTCTCAGTGGGAAGTTCCTACGCAACCTGCTCGTGGCTCCAATGACCAAGTGCGTTGTAGTCATATACTGGTTAAGCATTCTGGCTCCCGGCGGCCTTCTTCGTGGCGTAGTCCAAACATCACCCGGAGCCGCGAGGAAGCACTAAATATCCTCAACGGTATGTTTCATCCGAACACCTACTTCTTGTAGTTGCTCCTTTTGAAAGCATCCAGGCACTCTTTCTTCCATTTTAGGTTACAAGGCTGACATTGACTCAGGCAAAGCAACCTTCAGTGAAATTGCTACGCAATACAGTGACTGTAGTTCTGCACAGAAAGGCGGTGACTTGGGCTTTTTCGGCCGCGGTCAAATGCAGAAACCCTTCGAAGATGCAGCCTTTCAACTTCGACCAGGTGAAATGAGTGGCCCCATCTATACCGACTCTGGCATCCATCTAATTTTACGGACCGCCTAGACGTTTTCCTTTCATTCGTGACATTATAACGGACATTTCGTCCCGTTTGGCTTCTTAAAAGTTCCACTTTTGGGGTTTTCGGCCAACCTTTAGAGCGTGCTCTTCGTCGACCTATTTGCAGCAAGGACGGAACTCGAAAGAAAAGTGCGGGAGGCAGTGTAGCTCAACTTTTGTAGCGATTTTTCGTACATTGACAACGCTCGTCTGGCGCGCGAATTAAGCATATGATCAGGTTCAGTGATATAGCAATGTTTTGAGTCTCCTAGGCGAGTTGAGCCGTGGCGTTTGATCAAAATGGGGGCCATAGGCCTGCGGCACACATCAGACGGAGGTTTTACGTCACTGGTGCATAGTGGCAGGCAAAAGGGTAAGGGATCTGTTCAACGCTACCGATCGTGTCTTCGAGGGTTGCTAGACTGCAAGGCAACTCGATCCGTCTCCCGTCACCTATGGAAGTTTTGAGTTTTCAAACATGCATTTGCTCGCTTTCGTAGGGTGTGTTGATATCTTCCTCCAGCAGTTAGTCCGAATTAACTGACAGAAAGGAGGATCTGCTGTACTGGCTCGGCCAAAACACCCAGATATATGAATTTTCGCGGTCGGTCATTGCGACTGTGTTGAGTTTTCCGATGAGCATGTCCCGCCATTCGAACGGGATGGAAATGGAAACAGAGTGAGGTATACAGCTGTGTTTCCACTGTCGTAAGCAATAGGAACCGCCCGTCACGACGACATCGGGGCGGTCGTAACTCTCACCGATTGCGACGAATTAACTACAATACTCTCGTGTTGACAATGAGTAGGAAGTAAGCGTAGGCTCTTGAAGGTCCTTGCTGGCGTCTGGCATATTGCTAGTGTTTAGAACACTCATACAATCTAGTGCTGTGCACAGGTGGGCACAGCTATCTAATGAACTGTTAATTGAGAGTTTCCGTGTTTCTTAAAACAAAGGCGGCCTATGAGGGCGTCCGCATAGTCTGCAACCATCCCGATGTCCATGGCTGCGGTATTCTGATCTCTTTCTAGTCAGGCGACGGAATGCCACTGCTCAGTAGGTTGCATACCAATGACTCTGGGATTGCACATGTTCCAGTGAGTCAAACAGATATCGCGACGGCCCGGGTTAATGCTCCCTAAAGAGGAATCTCCCAGTCCTTCTCTGGAACGAGGGCCAGACCGCGACGGCCCATCGACTCCACCCATTATGGTGGCCTGACTTATGAGATCCCAGACTCTCTGGGACCTATTCATGTAATGTAGGGCCGATACGTGTAAGGCACGCGAAGATGGGCTATCCGACTGCGATCACCCGTCTCGAATCAACTTGACCATATAATCAGAGCGGGACGGGCGTCTATGGTGGCCTGGACGTTTCGAAAGCCAGCTTTGCTATGAGCGAATTCACGCGCCAGCCACCGCGCTCACAGCGGGACCGACTGTTCCCTTAACCTGCGATAGGGGGGCTACCATGACTGCTTATCCTCAAGAGTAGGCGGGCCTACTCTAAGTTCCCTGTGCACTACACCAAATAAGCATGTTTTGTAGGTCGCCTCTAATACTTCAGTAGGGTATATGACGCCCACCCACAGGGCGATGGCAGCCATACTGAATGGCAGGGGACACGATTGTTCGTCGCTTTGTGAGCCTGCAGCTAGACAACCTACCACACCTGGCGACGTTACCACTGAATGACTGGCGATCACATACTAGATTTAGAAGCATTCTCATTTAACAGCTGGCTTTGGCTAAAAATCGCTTCATTACCCAGTAGCACTGCAGGTTCTGAGCTGGGCCGACGCAATGACTCCCCTTCCCCCAGAGCTTCCTATACCACCGTTTGTGCTCACTGACACAGAAGAGGAGCATAGCGGAGACATGACCAATGAACGGTCGAAAGTCCACTCAACGCCGTTTAGTTAGGTCAGAGGAATACAAGTAATCCGGTGAGGAGTTCGCAATCTACAGCACTCCAAAAGAGGCGTCATACTAGACATGACATTTGACTGAAGCCAACGAAAGCTGTATGTGTCCATTTTCTCCTACGCTTACCCATTCTGGATTCTAACTTTTCACTTTTCAGGGAATAGCAGCTTGAACCGCCAGGACCCAGCATTGGTTCATCAGTCAATGATGACAGACTCTTTTGTGTCCTCTTCTCTCCCCATTGGTGCGCTCAAAAAAGAAGACAAACACGTGTCTAGCGGTCTTTTCGTTGGTCAGCAAATAAGACAGTATCGACGTTCATCGATTATCACTGTTTCCAGTGAAAAGTCAATTTGCACACAGGACTGGACAATGGCGGGAAAGCAAACCCAGTGCAGTGCCCAGGGATGAAAGACTAGATATTAGAGCACTTAATCAGAAGCAAGAGCACAGGATTGGACCCTGCTGCAAAGGCCACATTGAGAGATAGAATTGATATGCATCTAGGGAAGGGGCGGACGGACGGCAGAGGCTTAGTCTCAAAATCCGCACAACAGAAAGTCGAAAAATAATCCTAGTGGCCAGCTGATTTCCACGGCGTTTATCTTCTTGTAGAGCTGAAAGAGAACAAGACATAAGAAGACGGTCACAATGACCATATTTGCCGTGACGAGGCGGACAGAATACATCTAGCAGATTGAAGGAATGCATTCGAGGCACGGGGATCCGGTTTAACAGGGGTTGTGTCCTATGTATCGACCAGACTACCAAGCAGTTGGCCCAGATGACTTCCATTTGTCCCTATGGAATTTTAGATTTCAAGTCTGCCCGGTTTGTACTGGGCTGTCATTGACTGACAGATACATGGAAAGCAGGGATGGACACTGCAACTTTCCCGATTTCATCGTACAGAAAGCCTGACCCTGCGGGTCGACGAATTTAAATCCAATCCAATGGGTTGGACATCTTGTCTGGCAGGGTTTTGACCTCTTCAGCGGCCCCACGATCTGAGCAGATCCCGCCTCCGCCATTTCTGGCACCCACATGAATCGTGAATGCTTTTGGTCTGAGACAGCTGTCCGGACCACTGTCGGGTTCGGAAGCTGTGAGCGGTGATTTTGATGAGACCATTTGACAAGAGATAACCGTCGTCTCTGGCAGTTTTACAAAAGAAACGCTCCGCATGTTTGCTAAAACAAACCCAAGAGTGTATAATTAGTAAGTATTGACTACTTTCTGACCATCTCTGTGCGGTCCCGCGGTAGTCCTTTTTAGTACACCTCGTAACTAAAAACAATAAAAAAAATCGGTTATTCCAACTATGGCATAAGCGCGTCCCTTAACTGTGCCGTCCTTCTGATGCAAACGAAGGAGGAAGTTACATCAGGGTGGTCCACACGAGGCAGACAAGGTGACACCAGATTTTTAGACTGCGGACGAATTGATATCTGGACGCCTGACTTCAAGCACGGGATGTTGTCCAGTCAAGCAACCAGGCAAAGACGCAATTATTTATAGATCTCGACCGTGGAAACGCGGAACTCACACAGCCAGGATGTGACCCTTCCGGCTGTGAGTTACACGCCTGAACAAGAAGTAACTGCTATTTATAGAAATAACGGAATGTATAGGGATTTTCTGATGAGAGAAAAAGTTCATCAAAGTAAGCATCGTAATAAGCTATCGCAGGATGCAGCAACGCACATGTAATTCCTTGTCAAGAGATATTCCAAATCCCTCGTGTAGCAGTGCGGAAATGTAGGAGAGGTCCATGCACATGAACGGATGCTCTTTTTGCGGGTGGGTGCAGTCTGAAAATAGAGGTTGGTGCGGAAATACCCCTTAGAAACACATGAGTTTTCTTAAGTGGTAAAATTAAACAATAGCACCACATACTGTGAGATATAAAGACTGCGAAACATGGCGGATTTTGCAACGTCCTGAGTTCGTAATCACATAAGTGATGCTGCGTACACTCAGTGCCCGCCCAACAATGAAAATGCTCTCGGAGGTGGTGGGCTATATAGCTCGGCGCTACGTGCGGTCATGAGCGAGCGCACGTGAAGCGCTCTTCTGGGCTGATTGAATATTCACTGACATTGCGGTCGCTCCTGAGAAGTTCTAACTGCCATTTGGATTAAGTTTTGTCAGATTCTAAAGTCTTGGTCAATAACTGCAGTTTAGGGGCCGCGCTGTCAGGAGAGGAGCACATGCGGGACAGCGCATGCCCCCGCTGTTTTGAAAACAGCTGCCTTCAAAGACCCAGGGGGTGTTTTGCACTTTTACCACTTTCGCGCATTGACGATCCCGCCCCCTAACCGTTTAGGTAGCATTTTGCTTGTGTTTCAGAATAGACTTTTTTATTTGGCGGTCGCCAGGACGAAAATGCTATCAAACGGTAGGTTGGTGAGGAGGAACATAACTGCCTTCAAAAGGCCGATCCACTATTTGACGTTTGTGTCTATCGATAAGGAGTGTACAGGCGGCTGTCGTTGAGGTTTTAAATGATGACCAGAATGAATATATCACTTTTTGTCTAACATAAAAATAGTATATAGAGTGAAAGTCCGGCGCTAGATTATCATCTTTATGGTGCGGGGAGGATCCGGAAGTGTCTTATAAAGATCAGAGTATTAAACAACGCCGGTTGAAGATGTAAAAATTATACCACCAACGCTTAAGAAAGACTGACCGTGCGCATTAGTGCAATTGTCTACGGAAGTAGGAATTTATTTGCCGTCAAATTCGCAAATAGCCGAACATACAGACTGGCTTAAGTCCTCTCCTACACTGAACTCTCCGTCCAAGACGACCTCTGAGAGGGATGCAAGTCCTCCGGCCATGCCATGGTGTATACAGCCATTTAAATGACGGGTGGGGACATGAATAACCGTCCAAGTCGTTGGCTGTAAACCTTCGCAGGCAATGCGTCATATACCTTCGCTTTGTGATGCGTCTTCTTCTTTCTAGGTCCTTCCTCGTTATCCCTACGTCCGGAAAAGGTGACGAGTGGCAATATAGGTTGCATCGACCTCTGGTGGCAATAATTTATCAAGTTGTGACTTGTAATGAACGGA